TACAACTATATATTTAAAACTTTGTAATATAAAGTGAATTGCAAAATTGAATCAGCTACGCATTATTTTAAACCAATTTAGAAATTTGAAACGTAAATGAAATGAGTTTACAAAAACAAATGAATTTGCCATTTAATTTAATTGCAAAATGAAAATGAAATAAATTTTGTATAGTTGTATATATGTAGGCAATGCCTGAGCCCATATTGTCTGGCGTTGTTCAGCGACCTCAAACTAAACAACTTGCAGGGCAGATGAAAAACTACCAATGGGAAATATGAAATGCAGTGGCAGCATTAAGAATTTTCACATTGCCATCGTCATGCATTGAAATCAGCAAAAGCCACTGGCACGGCAACAGCAGCAGCAGCAGCAGCAGGAGTAGCAGCAGCAGCAGCAGCGATGCTCAAGCAGAGGCTGAGCAGATACAGAAAGAACAAATGTACATATACATCTGTGTATACATATTTCTGTATCAGCATGGCATACTCTCATACACACACACACACACACATATGTACATTCACATATGCGCAATGTGCGTGTCTTGTTTGCCGGCACGCTTTTTATTTATTTGCTAATTAACGCGCTTCCTGTGCAACAGCCGAAGCGACGCGACGCGACGACGACTTTTCAGTTGGCAACTTGTTGAAGGTCGCTGTGGCATGTACATACCTACATATATACGTATGTATGTGCATGTATATTACTCATGCCATACAATGGACCACCCCGTTACCTGGCAACCGCAATTGGCGCTCGCATTAATAGACTATTAACAAGATACCCCAAGCCAGAAGATTTGCACGTGCTCTGCATGCCGAATACAGCAAAAGCATTACCAAAAACCACTGGCCAATGAAAGCCAGCTCTGTTTAGGACAGCTGCTGCCTTGATCGTTAATTAGGCTGGTGGTAGACCGCAAGCCACATGCTCTACAGCTAACCACAGATTGACAACTGACTCCATTATAAATTTACAAAATAAATTGAGCAGTTGACGGTTTAAAGTCATATAAATTGACTGCGGAAATGAGAATTGATTTCCTTGAAATTTCCTTCTATTGTTTTTTTATATCAATTAAATTTTAAGTTGGAAATTCTGAAAACTAGACGAATTGATCATGAAACGTGATTAGGATATGAATAAACATTTTTGTAAATGTTCTCAGAGCAGCATTAAAGCATAAACTCTAATTATCAAAATTCAAATATTTATGTACGAATTGTTTTACAATTTTTATGTTAGATATAAAGCTCAATCGAATTAAAAAAAATTTATATGATATAAAAATCTTCAAATTTGAGAGGAACTTACAAATATTTTGAAACAGAGAAATTTTATAGCTATATAATATACATAAAGAACTGATTTGTCTAGTCTAACAAACATTATTACTGATTTATAATTTTACGTTTAAACTTCAATAAAAATTGTGTTTTTTTCTATAAGTATTTTTTTAATCATAAGAATAAATTGGGAAATAATCAAGAATAATAAATATTAATTTAATAAAAATTCACTGAAGCTGCAGCGAAAAATTGGTTTCTAAAATATATTTTTAAACTAACTAAAAAATTATAAATAAAATTGTATTAATGCGAAACAGACTTCTTAAAAAGTTGTTTATATATTTTTTTAAATATATTACATATCAACTTTATTTTAATTTGAAAGTGGAATACAACAATAAATAGATGTTAATAAGGTTCAACATGAAAACTAAAAAATTCGTCAGATCTCAAATTCTTATATTAAATTTTCATTTTAAATATGAAATTCAGTTAGATATTGAAAATATAGATTTTTCGAATTAAAACCTTTTCAAATGAAAATCTTCAATTACTGCTAAATTTTGGTAAATTGTAAACACTTATTGCTCGGCTAATCATAGCAATTACAATTGAAGCAATATGCAACGATTTGGCAATTTGAGAGCATAGCCAAGATGATTATATAATTGATATGCCCGATAATAGGCGGTTTCGAATGGTTTATGCGCATTTATGCGACTGTCTCGTATTCTCTGGCCGTCTTAGCACTACAGCACAATACATACATGCATACATTAATACACATACATATGTATGTGTGTACGCTTGTTTCGCTCTAGGTACTTATAAATATGTATGTGCCTAGTCGGCAGTTTGTGTGGTCGCCGGATCGAATACTTAGCTTGCTGAGTTTGCGGTTTCCTCGACTCGCCGCCAACTCGCGCGACCACACAAATTGATATTCAATGTGCGATTTGAGCGCTGCCTGCGGCGCGGGTTGGGTTGTGTTTCATACTCGTGTGTGTGTGCGTGCGTGTGTGTGTTATCAGTGAGAAATTTCATTCATTCATGTAAGTCAAATTAGCTTGGCGGCTGCTCTGAATCGTTTAATAATTAAGTTTAATTTTAAACAGCTTAGAGCGCATTTCACGTGTTCACAAGTGACGCAATAAATGCTATGAATTGCGTATAGCCAGCCGCACCCCTGCCAGAGCCACTGCAGCTGCTGACCTCACCAACTGGGCACCAGGTACTCAGCACTGGGCACTGGCCAATGGGAGCTGGGCACGCCGCCCGCTTGCCCGAATGACCGCTTCGATCCGGAAATTTGAACGTTACGGTTTTCCCCGTCACGTGTGGCGCTGTTGCCGTGCGGACTCAAATCGTTTTATTCTGTCAGCGAGACACGTGCGCCACGATTGCCCGATTTCGCTGTATCCCAAATTTCATTTTATTCCGGTTTTATTCTACATATATATATATATATTTTTTATTTTTATTTGCAATAAATTTATTTAATTTGCAATAATTTTATCAGCGAACTGTCAAAGTATTGCTCGAGCAGAAATGGGGAAAAATTTTAAAAAAGAGTTACAATAATTTAAGGGCGCATTTAATAATATTAATTATATACTTAATTTAT